CTCTAAAATGGAGTCTGAATTCATTGATTTAGACAAAGCAGGTGAAGAAGCTGAATGGCTCCAGAATTTCATAGAAGATATTTCATTTTGGCCCAAACCAATGGCCCCTATATGCATACATTGTGATAGTCAAGCTGCAATAGTAAGGGCTTGAAGCATTATGTATAACGGCAAGTCTCGTCACATAAGACGAAGACATAACTCTGTGAGACAACTACTCAATAGTGGAATTATCACAATTGACTATGTGAAGTCAAAAGAAAATGTGTCGGATCCAGTTACAAAAGGCCTGAATAGAGAGGGAGTTGAGAAATCATCGACAGGAATGGGACTATGGCCGAGAATAAGTCATCGTGGCAGTAACTCTACCTAGAAGACTGGAGATCCCAAGATCTATGTTCAAGGAGATAAAACAAAGTCATTGATGACAGTTCAACATTGTCAAAGGAAAAGAAAAAAGTATTATTATTTTATGGTCCATTCTCATGATGAGACAATGTTTAGTAACAAGGATAAAGACATAAGGACTTTTTAATGGTTTTTAAGTTTGATACATGGAATATCAAATGGTGTATCTATGGGATAACACATTTAGAAATCACCTATGTAAGTGTGAAGTGTAAGCCGCTTCAAGGAGAATCCGGTAAGGCCAGTTCTTTAAGCACTTACTATCCAAGATGTGTTAATAACTGAAACGAACAAAACAATGAGAACTAAGAACAGTTCAAGGGTTGATTGTGTGACATATGTTGGCTAAGTATACACCAAAGCTCGACGGTTCAAAGATATCAAATCTACCGACTGACCGAGTATATCCGATATATGTTCACTATGGAAAGTTTAAAGGGAAACCTACTTATCCATATACGATTAACTTTTACCTACAAGACACACAAGTTTTTTCATGCATATGTTTTAACAATAGCCTTCCCCATTCATGTGGGGGATTGTTGGGTTTTAGCAAGTGTGAATGGTAAAAGAAAAGAGAGAATATGAAAAGTGAGGGAACTACTTTGGAGGGAAAATGAAAAGTCATTTGCAAAGTGCAAATGAAAAGTCATTTCTCCCATATCGGCAAAAGAAAGGGAAATTGTTGTCCTTATAGAAGGAAACACTTCCATTTCTTATTAAAGAGCTAAGAAGAAGATGCCCCCTCGCACCGTCGTCGTCGTCGCTCGGCCTCGGCTTTGGCTTCGGCTTCGGCTTCGGATATGTATTTGGATTTGGATTTGGCAAATGATGTGATTGATTGATAAATTTTTTGGACAAAATTTATTTAATCATTTTTTGTTAAATCAAATAAATCTTGTTAAAATTATCTCTTATAAATTTGCAGTTAACGGTAACATTCCGAAAAGTTGTTACTATTTTTAAAAGTCGTTACTTTCCAAAAAATCGTTATTTTTCTAACAGACAAAATTTTCCGAAAAGTTGTTATTTTTTCCATAAGACACGACTTTTTGGATAAAATGGGTCTGAATAGATTTCACTGGACAGACATGTTCCTTGCTGAAAATGGCTATAAAAGAAAGTCAATTTATGATTTTTTAAAACACTGAAAAAAATTTCTTTCACTGCATTTATTTTTCTCTCAAATAAAATCAAAGTGTCGATCGACTGAGTCTGTGTGACTTGTTGTTGTTCTTAAGTTCGTTGAAGTTAAAAAAGTTTGAGGTACCGCTATTTCTTTAACAGGTTTAATACGTTTTATTTTGGGAGAAATTAATCCATAACCTTGGGTACAGTGAGGGGATTAAATTTCTTAAGGACAAACAGTAGTTTCTGTAGACTCAGATTAATTCTTGTATTTTATATTTTTTCTGCTTCATCTTATTTCTGTTTCTGTTTATTAACCTTATAAATACAGGTTATTGTAAGAATAACACCAAGACCACGGGGGAATGAAGGTCAGAGCTTCAATATGCATAAGGTGGTGGAGAATATTGGTGCTTTCAATGTCGGATTGGAAGGTTTCGGTTGGTGCCCTTTGGAGGAGGCTTTCCCTTTCGTGTGCTCTATTTGTGGGAGGTACTTCCATGCCCCCATTCACACTACGATCTGCATAAGGGAGTGTACGTGCCAATGGATGCACAAACAATCAACGAGGTGTTGGAGGCACTAAAGGTCTAGAATGCTGAGTATAAGGCCCGATTGAGGTGGCTACACTATGAAATCATAGCAAGTGAAGGTGTGAAAAGAGACGAAGCGATACCAGTTTTTTTAGACTTCATATAATATTTGGGTCATGTCAATACGTTTACTTAGGTCTTATAATTTCCATGAGTCTTTGAGTCCAATCACTCACTTACACACCAAATTAAATAGAGATTTTCTCGTGCTTTTCATTTATTTTTATATAATATAATATTAGCCTTGATACACATAACTGAAGCAACGTGAAACTTGCTTAGGATTGAGGTGTTGTAGGGGTTATTGTTGTTTGAATAAGTTTGACTCTTTGCTTATCTTTACTCATTAATATAATTGAAAAAAGGAAGAAACAAACTTAATTGTATATGCTTATTTGTAGTTATTACTACACTAGTCCTGGACACGTGAGTTTCACAATGTTAAGAGAGTATTGTTTGTATTTTTAAGAACAAATATGTGGTATAAATGCAACAAATATTATGATATATTTATATTTAATACAATATTTATTACGATTATGATTATATTTAATTTTTTCGTTCACAAAATTATAATACTAGTATGTAATAAAATGATTATTGCTTTTGAAGGCCCTCAATATAAAGATGGATTGTTAGAAATTTGATATTAAAGAATGATATATATACATGTGCATATAAGAATAAACTTCTCTTTATCTATATAAAGTTTATAAGTGGTTAAGACATTTAAAATGTGATTTTTTGTATACTCAGATGTAAGTATAAGATAATTTTATATTATTTCAATCTGTAACCCCCTTCTTCACTTCACAAAATTAAAATAGTTAATGGAGTGACACTCCTTCAATATTTATGATGTCATGACGATCCAACACTTGAAAGAGGTAAAATTTATTTAAATCTCTCATCTCAGGTTGCAGATCTCTTAATTTGGAGAAGCACAGTTAAAGGATGAATTTTAAGAAATTGTTAGATTAGTTTAATTTTTAGTTATATTTCTATTTTATAAAGTTTGTATTGAACTACTAACAGATGTTAAAAGTGAAACATGATTATAGTGTTATATTTTGTAAGAACTATATTTAATCAAATAAATTAATTTAAAAAATTCTTTATAATGAGATTTAAGAGTAGAAGAAAATTTCAAATTGTACTTGAAAAAATCCTTTCTCAATCATGAACTCGAGCTTACTATTTGAATCACGAAAGGCAAGGAAATTTTTTAGATAATAGTAATTATACATTAAAAAAAATAACTTATCTAAAGCATGAATATAATACGGAAATTAAAATTGATTTCAACCTCCGGAAACACGTGAACATCCCTTCTCTCATTGAACTCCATAAGAAGATCTAACAATTTGTACACATTTCTTTTCTGAAAACAACAAACGAAGATAAGGAAAATTTGTAATCAGTGTTATGAACGGAAGATAATAATGATATTAATATATACTAAAGGATAAAAAAATAGAAATATAGACAGTTTTTTTTAAAAAAAATTTCTTGTGAAGTGTACCTAAATATCTTCAAAGTTTATATATTGTTGTGTCAAATACCATAATTTATAGGACATCATTGAGTAAAATCAAAAGGTATCATAATCATACGATTCATTTCTTGAGAGTATGGGAAGATTATGAAGGTGTAAAGATTAATGAGGAGATAATGGATGTGTGGTATTAATACATATTATGACAAAAATAACACCTAAAACTGATCAGATAGAGAAACGGAAAGTTTCTCTAGTACCTTTTCGTAATAACCTTATAATTAATTATTTTTACAACTCTTCATTCTCCTACTTTATTTAAATAATAAGTGAATCAATTTAGCAATTTAAGCATATTTAATGTTTGACTAATTAGATATTTTATAATATTTTAATTTTGTGTAGGAATAAAATGGTAATTCAACTTTGTACCTTGAGGCTTCCCATTTTTAATAATATCTGATATGATATGATGATTTGACAATGTATAGGCCTTAAAATATTTTTTTTATTTTGATTATTTAATCATATTTAAAGCTTGGGACAAAAAAACTTAGGTAATTTATCGGTTTTAACCTTTTATAAGAATTTTGACATGATCTTTTCCGAGTCCATAACTCCAATGAATTATTTTGAAAAGATGCCGACGATTGCATCTATGAAATAATTTAAAAAACAACTCCAGAAGATGCAGTAAGATCAACAATTTAATCAACAACATTCAATTGTTTTTGCAAAATCTGATGAATTTGGGAAGGTTTTTAAACTTCTAATTATCAAGAAATATTTGATACATCAAAGTTTCCTCCGATTTGTAACACAAAAAGGAGCTCATTTTTAGTCAATGTGATTCTCCCATCACAAGTATTAAACAATATAATAATGTAGTTAGAAATCCATATAAGGGAATTAAAAAAATATTGAGTGTCACACTCAGGATTTAGTTTCATAATCTAAAGCAACCTTTGAATCCACTATGTTGCCAAAGAAGAACTTTAGATCTAACGGTTCATATATAATAATTTTGGTTGTTAATTATTTAAAGTTTATTTGTATCTTATCGTTAAATTCATCATTATGTAACTATAAAAATATCATTTTATATAACAATTAATTTGATATGATCATGTCATTATAATATTTTTATTTTCTTATTTTTATTGGGTTCTTTACCTTATAATTCTTTTCAATTGTCTATAAACACTATCTCTTATGCTATTTTTCTTCCTAAAGTAATAAGTTTATTCTTCAAATAGGTGATATATAACATAACATGTGACGTAGGTGTGAATTTGTATTGATTAGATTATAAATACAATACTATACATATATATTTTTAATTAAAAACCAATTGGGCCACTTTATTGAAAAAATAAAATATGTACACAAAAAGAATCAGCCCATACGCCAACCCTAATGAAACAAAATACAAAAAAAGACAATCAATTAGGAAAGTTGAAAAGGATGGACATTTTTAAAGATAATCAATCAAAGAGGCAACTGAAGCATCCGATAGCTTCAATGTTGTTGTTCATGGTCGAAGCTTCCTCTTCATGGATGATTCTAGATCCACCGTTGATTATCTCACTAGCGATTTAAACTTTTCATCCAAGAGCTCTATCAGGTAACTTTGGCATCTCAAATTGCTTCTTCTTTCATAGATCTATCATTCAATGAATTGAATGCCACAACTGATATTGATACCACCATCAAATTTTAGATCCTTCAAAGATAAATTTAACTTTTTCTTACCGATGATACCAGATCTACCATTGAATATCTCACTACCGATTTAAACTTTTCATCCAACAGTTCTATCAGGTGAGTCATCTCAAATTGGTTCTTCTTTCTTACATCTATCATTCAATGGATTGAATTTCACAACTGAGATTGATATCACCATCAAATTTAGATCCCTAAAAGATAAATTAACTTTTTTTTATCGATGATCCTAGATCTAGCATTGAATATCTCACTGCCGATTTAAAATTTTCATCCAAGAGTTCTATCAGGTGACTTTGACATCTCAAATTGGTTCGTCTTTCTTAGATCTATCATTCAATGGATTGAATGACACAACTGAGATTGATAACACCATCAAATTTTAGATTCTAAAAGATAAATTAACTTTTTTTAGGCCTCTTGCAGAAAAGAAATTACTTGTGTCATTTGCAAGCTTCATATACAACTATTCTAACTGCTTGTAGATGAATAGAGTTTTTCCCATTCAGTATCCTAACCTAAGGTAACTCTGAAACCTTCTTCATCAACTTGAATTATTTAGCCTCTTCAATAATGGATTGAATCCGACTAGGTTAATGCCACCATCTAAGTCAAGACTATCGAAATTTTATGTTGTTGTATGATTTAAGTTACCTGTAGTAGAAAAGTACTACTCTTAATCTTTAAGTCCTAGTTTCATACAATTCGCAACACCTCAAAGTTCTCACCAAGGTGAATAGTACTTTAACCAACCGGAAAGTATTTTAGACATCATAGATTGAATTGATAGAATATATCTATGTACTTCACTTTTGTATTCATACTACTTATTGACACTATAAAACTCTAATTAATTTGAAATTTTGTGGAACCTGTCTTTTGAATTCTAATGTGTGGTGTTTTGTACTTGTCAAGGTTGAATATCTTTTTTCCAAAACTTGGAACTTCCTGAAAAGATTTATATTCATAATTACCTGCAAAATAAAAAACAAAGTTAGCAAAAAAGTCTGCTAGAGTATTTCGATTCCATTTCTTAAGGAGTGTTGTACTCATACTAATAGCACCTCCCTTGGGATATTGTTTAATGCTTTTTTTTTCTTGACAAGTATAGCAGGAAAAATTGTTTCTTAACATTTTTGCAACTGATGGCATACACTCTTGACGATGGAAGACACACCGCAATTCCAGGTTTATATCTTTGACATTTCCTTAACTTGGATATTTGATCTACAACTTCATTCCTCTTACTTATAAATGTTTTATGCAATTGATTTGCTTTCTTTCTCTCTTTCAGATCATTTATTTCAAAGATTAAAATTAAGGAAATGCATTTATGTTAGAGTTTATTTTATGTACAATGTAAAAAGAATAACATTCACTATCAAATCAAGTTAACCTATTAACAATGTGTAATTTTCATACCAAGTTTGATATGATAATAAATAAAACAGATTTTTTTTAAGAAAAAAATTTAGCAACCTTTTCTTTAAAATAAAAAAACTCTATAGAGATAACTACAAGCAAAGGGAGATGAACCTTTCCTTCCCAATCCTAATGAGGTAACAAACCCCTACTAACGAACAACCATGAAGAAAATAAAATTTAGAGAGTAGTAGGATTTTGTGATTACCACAGAGTTTATAATACACTATATAAAAATAATACAAATTAAGGTGCTTAAATAATAAAAAATATGGCAACCAAGAATTAAAAGTTTGAATTATCGGCCTCAAACATCCTTTGTCAAGTGAATTAATTAAAAAAGAGTGACTGCACATCTAAAGTAACCTTAAGTGTTTTCCTCTTGTTTTCTTCTTCGAACTTGTCCAACAACACTTGTTAGTTCATCATTTCTTCATGGATTATTGGATCTTGTTAAAACTATTGATACTTCCATATGATGCTTCTTTGACAGTCACATTGTAGGTGCCTTGGAACAAACTTCTTAGTCACTTTATCGTTCCAACTGTGTTGTCTTCCATATGTCTATTTTTTGCTTCTGTTCTTTCCATTTCAATGTTGCCTAGGCGAGATATACCCTTCTCTAGCCATTGTAAGAGTTAGTGTTTCAATTAATTTTGAAACAAATTCATCCGTTTTGAAATAACAAATACATGAATGTGAATTGTAATATTCATTTATTTTAATTATATGTTATAAACATTTGCAAGAAGTTTTTCTTTAATTCTACGTTATGGGTTTTTGAAAGATAATTTTTTTGTTTCCAATTCATGAACCTAATAAATTCTATTAATTAAAAGTCTTTATCTTGCAAAACTTTTCATCCTATAAATTGAGTTTCTTTTGGTTGAAAAAGATAAACATTAAAAAAAGTACTTTCCTTTGAAAACACTTGTGAGACATTAATCAAAAGGTGAAATCACCAATTCAAGAATAGAAGAGCAACATTCTTGAATGCTACTTGTTTTGTGGCTTAGTTGAATCCCGAAGATGGAGTTGTTATTTATTCTTCCGATTGCTCGTGGGAGAGACTCCAACTATCTTCAAGAAACGTATTAACGTGCCTCTAGGCCAAGCAAATTTTATTTTGTATTCCTTGTAATTTTATCATTCTTGTTCATTTGTTATGACAACCAAGACATTGTGCAAGATCATCCAAACTAAGAGACTTTGGACCAAATTTTCAAGTCTATTTAGTTGAAAGGGATCCTAAGAGTTATGTTGAATCAATGGCTTCACATGATGATCCTTTCTGGCGTGAAGCTATTGATGATAAAATGCACTCCATTATGTCAAACAATACATGGAGTTTATCAGACCTCCCTCCTGGATGTAAGTCTATTAGTTGTAGATGGTTCATTATAAAGAAATTAAAATCTGATGAAACCTTAGATAAGTAGAAAGCTCGTTTGGTGGCAAAAGGTTTTACTCAATTGAAATGTATTGATTATTTTGATACATTTGCACCTATATCTCGAATAACTTCTATTTGACTCTTGATTGCTTTAGCCTCAATTCATAGTCTAGTAATACATCAAATGGATGTGAAGACTGCATTTCTGAATGGAGATTTAGATGAAAAGGTTTACATAAAAAAACCAGAAGGATTTATCTTTCCTGGTCAAGAATACAAAGTTTGTAAGTTTCTTAAATATCTTTATGGATTAAAACAAGCTCCAAAACAATGTAATGAGAAATTCAGAAGAGTAATGATTTCTAATGGCTACTCAATCAATGGTGGTGATATTTGTATATTTAGCAAATTTCAAGAAAAATCTTGTGTTATAATATGTCTTTATGTAGATGATATGTTGATCTTTGGAACTGATATTGAAAGAATCAAAGAAACAAAATCTTTTCTAGCTTCTCAATTTGAGATGAAAGATCTTAGAGAAGGTGATGTAATTTTGGGTATTAAAATTACAAGATCAGCGAATGACTTGACTCTTACTCAATCAAGTTATATTGAGAAAGTTCTGAAGAGGTTTTGTCACTTTGATGACAAACCTGCTCCTACACCATTTGATTCTAGCATCAAACTGATGCGGAACTCTAGTGATGTTCTTGACCAGCTGACATATTCTCAGATTGTTGGGAGTCTTATATATGAGATGCATTGTACCAGGCCGGATATTGGTTACGCAGTAGGAACTTTGAGAAAGTTTACTAGTAATCCCGGAGTTGAATATTGGAATACCTTAATTCATGTTTTAAGATACCTGAAGGGTACAATTAATGTTACCCTACATTATTCTACATTTCCCGTTGTTCTTGAAGGCTATAGTGATGCTACTTGGAATTCTGACCCGAATGACTCTAAATCTATTACTGCTTGGATTTTCCTTTGGCTATAGCAGGATCTCTTGGAAATCAAAGAAGCAGATATGTATTACTCATTCAACTATGGAGTCAGAATTTACAGCTATGTCTTCTGCTTGAGAAGAAGCTGATTGGTTGCGATCAGTGCTGATAGATTTTCTTTTATGGAGTAAGCCAATACCACCTTTAACTATCTATTGTGATAATCAAGTTGCTATATTTCGGGCTTCATATGACTGCTATAATTGCAAGTCGAGACAAGTACGTCTCAAACATAATCATGTCAGGAGATTATTGGAGGAAGGCGTGATATCGCTTCAATATGTGAAGTCCAGAATTAATTTAGCGGATCTTTATCTAAAGGGTTAGGCAAATAGTTAGTGGTGGAAACTAGTAATGGGATGGTAATAAAGCATGTTGTAAATTAATTGTACTTTATGGTTACCCTACCTAATGATGTAATCTTGGGTTCAAAGGGAAAAACAAGTAAAGTTACAATTGTGAAGCACATCAATAAAATTCTCATTTTCAAAATAAAATGAAATAAGTAGATGTGCATGATTGAGATTTCTTTCTCTTTTTCAATTTTAAGACCGATCTCGGTTGGAGTTAGTAAGAAAACTCTTGATAAATTTTTTCGATATTCCTACTGAAGAGAAGGATGAGATTATATTCTCTTAATAAGTCTATAAATCAATTTCGATTGGAGCGTGTAGGAATACTCTTGATAGATTTACCGATACTTTGTGTAAAGGAGAATGAGATTAATTTCTCTTAATGAAGTTCATAGACTATTTGGTCGGAGTATGCAAAGTTACTCTTGATGAATTCACCACACTAAGTGCAAAGTGGAGGCTGCTTCAATGATTTTAACAGGAAAATCATAAAGCACTTGGCTAAAAAGGATTCAGGACACATGGCCGTAAGGTGTCAAAGGATTTCGATTTTCACCGGAACGTAGTGATATGCGTGGAGCATTTTTCTAACTTCATTCAATGAACCACTTAGTTCAAGATTTGTTCATTAAGTAGTCAACTAGTACCCCTCCTATTGGTCTAGGCCACCACTCTTGACAATCTATCGAGCTATTACTTCGAGTTGCAGCCTCAAGTGTTAATCAACCCTACTCTAATACTTATTATGATAATCTATTAGGTGAAAACCCCACTCAAGCCTACTAAACCGTTAATATTTTTTGTCTTAATAAATGAATTAAAGTAAATTATCATTTAACAAAGATGGTAAACATTCCCTGCATTTAAGAAAAGGTGGTTCGACTCCTTAAAAGGAGTAACCTTTAATAGAAAGCTTTTAATTCTTCTAGCCAATAGTGGTCTTTATACGGTGCATACTCAATGGTGTGCAGCCTCCAGGTTCCGCTAAGGTTTTGATGTAAAAAGAAAAATGTTCTATAGCGACTTAAATTGCATAAATAGTACTATATATGACGCAATCTTTTAAAAATTATTATTATTAGTTCAATCATCCGGTACCCAAGACCCACTATAATTAGTGACTAATGTTTCATTTAATTCAAATATAGCAGTACGTTAACCTGTTTAATATATGTATTTGTTGAGTTTGTTAGTGTGTTTACATTCCCATATTGGTTGCGGAACGGACCAATAGTTTTGCTTGCATAGACTTGGGCATTTCTTCCCTCATGTGCTAGTTTTTAAATGTAATTTAGGACCAAGATCTTCAACTGACACCCGTAACTCTATTATGGCTTTGCCCCCCGTGACAACGTAGTTGAAGTATGTACAAGTTGGCTCGGACCTTATTATGGTTATTAAAGAAAAAAAACCTCTAGACTTCAATAGTGTTTATGTTTCTTTTATTTCCAAAGTTATTACTAATATAATATTAATTTTTGTAGTTTACATTTATCTGTTGGCCTAAATGATAACTCTATTATGTCTCCACCGTACCCCTGGAAGTTGCGATAATGTTGTTGAAGTGGGTTCAAATGGTTTCGGACATAAGAAGAAAAGAACCTCTAAGACTTTCTAAGTGATTTATGTTGATTTTATTTCCGAAGCGTCGATCATATATTAGCTTGTTAAGTTTATGTGTATCTACTTGATATTGAATAGTTGTTTCCTTAAAAGATATCTTGATAGATTGAAAAATGTTATGGGCTTAAAACATTCTACCACAAAAAAATAGCTTAGTTTATATATATATATATATATATATATATATATATATATATATATATATATATATATATATATATATATATACATACATCGATATTTACATATAAGCATTTCTTTCATATCTCGCAAGTACAAGATTTGTGCGCACTAAACATCATAAATCTATTCACTTCATACTTTTTTTAGAACCCTTCTTATATTGGCTTGCTAGATTCAAGCTCTATTCAAGCTCTATTAAAGGAGTGTTAATCAACCCTTCTTATATGTTATTGGGACGTGATGACCTCTTAATGCTAACTTGGAAATAGGAAAAACATAAATAACTACTCTATGTCCCAATTTATGTGACACTTTTCATTTTTTAAGAGTCAAAAATACAAATAATGCCACATAAAATGGGATGAAGGTAGCAGTAAACTCTAATTATTTTTAGTACCATAAGATCATTACCAACTAAAGCACATTTCAAGCCAAAATAGAATTTTGGATTTGGCAGAACCCAAGAACTTAGGCTCAAAATCCACATTTTAAAGAAATTCAGTTAATAGGTATAAATAACGTATCTCAAACCGATAAAACAAAAAAGAGATATAGTTTAGAACCCGTACAACTTATAATTCCAGATCCGCCTCTAACGATCTGCATTTGACTATTTTGGGATGGAATTCTATTCCTTCAACAATGAGGCCACTTTTGTCACCACGGCGTTTCATCTCAAGCAATCTTCCTTCGACAGGACCATCACTACCTTCCTCGCTATTGAAATATCCCAGTCTATTTCCATCCATCCATCTCCTCGCAGTTTTGTTGATGTCATAGTTTCACAGTGTTGACTTGTTTTTCAGTCTCAGTATCACTCTCATAATTAACAAACCTAATAATTTAATTAGCACATTCAAGTTCACAAGACTTATTTCCCAATTTGAACACAAAATAAGCAACATAATTTGTCTTTGGTGTCAACACTTTTGTTCCTATTTTTCCACGAATATCCATTTGAGGTACAGAGTGAAGATATGCCACTTTTGAGAATCTGGAAAAGTATCGCAAGAAGCATTTGTAAGGATAGTTTATAATTGTTTTAATCATATGTAGGATGTATCTCCTTAGTAGGTCTACCAGATGCGAAGTTGAATTGACGAGATTTGTGTACCAGATGATTGGAAAAAAAAAAGATTTATACATCATCTATGCAATTTAACATGTTTTAGCAGATTTTTC